AAAAAAAAAATAATAATAATAATTTTCAGGCGAACCGAAGCAACGCAACGAGGTGAATTCAGTGTCACAAATGAACTGAAATATGCTTGCAGACCACAAGGTGAACAGACAGGGAAACACGAAACAGAACTTCCCCTGGCCAGCAGGCCCACCCCCCTCAGCCAAGAGTCTGAACCTGCGAGGGGGGGGGCGAGAGCCACTGTTCACACGTCACCAACCAGCAGCCACAAGGGGGTGGGGCAGGGACTTTTCCAGAGGATCACTGCAGACACACACACCGTGTGACCCCAACGAGCTGGCCAGAGACAACACATCTGGCAACCTAAATACTCTCAGACCCAGAGTCTGAACATGGACTGATCGCTGCCCCAGACACCAAGCAGGGCCGGCGTGAAACTCCCCATGCTTACTACCACAGACTTTGACAAACTTACTCCAAGCTCACGATTACCCTGGGATGGCGGAGGACACCAGCTGCAAGAAGTCATCTAGGCATTAGGGCCTGCCGCACAATGCCTAATCAACAGCTGTGTAACCTGACACAGAAGGCCTTTAACAAGCAGCAAGGCCTCCACTAAAGGTGTTTGTCAAACCCCACTGATTCTGAACTTCACAACTCAGAATCCAAAGCGGGCACCAGAAGGCACCCAGCATTGCCACAATGCAAAACCCTTCTACAGAAAGCCCCTAGCCAGAAGAGGACAGAGCCATCACCATGGCAACAGACCCAGGTTCCAGACCAACCACTGGGAACAGGCGTCCTCATCCTGCAAACACCACGGTATGTCCGACAGCAGTCCACCACAACATCCTCCTCCACACGGGTGCTGAACGGAGGCTACACAAGGACAGCTGGACACGCCTACGTCTGGGTTACAGGAGCTGCTGACACTCGCAAAAGAGCTCCTTGAACAAAACTCAACTAAGGACAAACCTCTGACTCCTTGCCTGCTGCATCACAGCATCAGGCCCCTCCAAGGGAGGAGCATCCCTTGAAACCGGTCGACACCCCTAGAAGCAGCCAGACAACGTTGGATTGAGCAGCGGGCCCACATGCCCAACAGCGAAAGCTCTACCAACACAACTCAGGCAAGCTCAAGTCGGTGCCGCCACAAGAGCCAAGCGACACCGCAAACATCAGATTTCTAGTGACGTTCGGGCAGAACAGAGAGCTAACAACCACCTGCTGCTCTCCTGCCATCATCACTAGGTCAGTCTGAAACTCTCTGCACACTACAAAATCTCCATAACAATTACCTGCAATCCCTGGAACCACCTGCACTCTCACCAGTGAGAGTCTAACCCGGCTGTTCCACATCGTGGGTACCACAGATAGCCTACTGGCTAACAGCATCAACAAAAACATCCTACCCGGACTAACTCACTTCAGGATGACAGGTGACACAGCCTCGACACCTGCTGCATAAGCTCGAGGACCCACACCTTGCTACAGCCTACATCACCACAGCACACCACCAGACAGCATCCAACACGGCACCAACAGCCAAAAACCACCACTGGCTCCCAGCCGTGAGTGCCAGGTGTGTGTTCGATTGTTCTGCACCTTGACATCGCTCGTTGTTGTCTATTCTACGGACAACAACGCTCGAAAGGGGGGAAATATGTAGCGTCTGGACCAATCCAACACACTATATATTCTCTTTTTATATGACAAATACTCTGTAACCTCAGTTAACAAGCCATATGAGGACCCATGGACCCTTCCCCCCGGAATGCGTAACACCCCAGGAAGTCGAACAGGCTTCTTTGTTGCATGGCAACCAACGCTGATATCACTGGGTTTATTGGCCAAAAGTATGTAAAGCAGGGAAAATCCCTGCTTGTCCCAAGGAAAAGCAGATTAGAAATGACTGTGTTCTAGTTAATTCATAGAAAAACCGTTATTTGAATGAACACACATATTTCTTCAGGCCATTGAGTATATTATTGTCATTGTGTATTTTGTCTTTGATATTCTTAGACTATTTTAGTATGCTTGTGAGGGGACCCATTCCTGATCATCCCTTTTCACTATATGTAATCTTACCTTGTTTAGTATCTATGAATTTGCCTTCTTATGATCGAAACAAGCGTGTATATTATATGGTGGTACATAGGCAATATATATTAGGGCCCTGAGAATCGTTAATAATTTCGATTTAAGTCCATTTGCAAATTACCATGCTTCGAGAACAAAGGGTCGTAAACCCTCCAGCAATTGCCACCTCCCGCTCGGAAATTCCATTTTGCTCATTGGACAAGCCCATCTTGAAAGGCGGAGATCTTCTCCGACCTTAAAGGCCCGGCTCCAGGGACCCGCCCCAGTCGGTGGTTCGGTCTTCGGCTAAGAAGATGTGAGAAACGCTTCAGGATACCAAAGCATCTGTGCCAGGCCTTTTCTTCGGCCTAGTCCTTTCCATTCATCAAGTGACTCTGACTCAAACTGGTCCTTTCTCATCAACCAACTTCAGCAAGATCTTGGGGCCGTAAGATCGCATCAGGAATCTTTGTTCATACAGACGTGCAAGTATCAAACTTAGTCGATTTAATTGATGCATTAAGTATCAGTTACACCTTTCTACAAGGTGTGTTTGAACTCAGAATCTGACGTATCCCTGAAGGCTTTGATCTGTTGAATATACATGCAAAGTGTTCCATAAAATCCATTCTTTATGCCTCTTTCTATGCTGAGTTAAACTTTAACCCTTTTCTATACCAACTGTATGTGTGTGTGTGTGTATGTTTATGTTAGACCGGCTTAATGTGTTTGTGTAGTATGTTAGACTAGTTTAAGTTTTTATGTAGTTAATAAAACCTTACTTGTATCACACTTGATGTGTTCATTGTTTACTCATAACCGGAGTCAATAATCATGCAGATTTACGTTACAAACTTATAGAATTGTGCAGTAAGAAGGTTATTTCCTTTAACCAGGAAATTAACGTTCTTAGAATTGACAAGACGGTTGACCCTGAGTGGTCAGCTAAATATCTACAGTGGATCTAAAATATGAATAGTTAATTATAACTAGTTATGGTTAATTATTCATATTTTCCATGAGCTGATTCGCTACAACATGTAATGTCCAATACAGTTTTTTACCGTATACAGTAGGGGAATTTACCATTTAACAGGCTTTTACTGTAGCATTTTTACAGTCTCTTACCGTTAAATTCACGGTCATTTTTTACAGCGTATGTAATATCTAATCCTTAGCATCCATTTCCCACTTGCAGTTCAGAGAGGGGCTTCTTTCAGATATATGTGCAACTTTAGAAGAGCCACTCCAGCAGCCCACAGAAGTGCTGGCCTTTGCTAGTGTTTTGACAAAAATCACTGAAGATAAGGACAAAGTGAATGTTAATGCTCAGGTAGTATTCTGTGACCAAACACATCATTATATACAGTATGTGCTCAACACTACTGCTGCATAACGGCTCATGAGGCACTTTTCTTTCACAGGAGAATGCTGGTTGCGTACTAGATATTCTGAGTAAATCCCTCAACTCCATCAATCTGGATAACATCACTGCACGAACTGAAATAGCCAACCTCCTCGTTGCATCCTCTAGTCACATTCTCGCTGCGTTTGATAAGGACAAAGAGGTAACTTTTTCTGAAAAATAATCTGGTGGTTATTGGCTGATTGATAAATGACCATTTTCCAAGAAAACAGATTAAAAAAGTAATACAACCATCTCATTTATTTAAAGTGCTTTTTTTTTATATTAGCCTAATCGGAATTTTTGTTCAGCTCGTCTAAAGTAGTAACACTCCCCATAATAACAATTAAAAGAAACAATTTAGTTTAAACAGTATTTTCGTTTCGAGTGTGGATGTGCTGAACTTGGCTAGCTTTACTGACTGCAGAAATAGTGGGTTTTATGATTTTTTTCTGGTGTTGTTTCAGATATTTTACAGATATTTTAATGCATATTTTAAAAAGACATCACAATAAGCATTAAGGTCTTTCGAAGTTGTCTTTATTTATAGTAGGTCAACTAAATTACGCATTTACAGCATGTTCGAAGTTTTATCGTAAGTGAAAATTCTACTTTCATATTATAGCTCATTTAGCTTTTGATTATGGTGAAATTAAGCAAAAAATTGTTACATTTACCTAAATTAAGTAACATTTTGACTTAATATCTAAAGAAAATATATTGATCAAGTATGCTATGGTCACTATAAAAAATAAATCTTTTTGCTTTTTATGAATGTTTTCATCTTTGTAAAGAAATATTGTGAAGAAAGAAATATTTTTGATTAATATCTTAAAACTAAATTTAAGGTTTGAACTTTACATTTTATTTAATTTGAGAAAGACTAATAAATCTGGCTGTAATAAATTAGAGAAAAGTATAACTTTTTTAGTTAAACTGATGTGACAAGGTAGTTGGTTTGTTGCTTGTCCAAGATGGTTTCGCATCTTGCACCAGCTAATGACCAGTTATAAACCAGCTATTATGTTCCAAAACACAGTTAACTATATCAGGAAATCTGCTGATGTTCTCACTGCCTTTCAGAGCGACATCTCTGGTTATTTGCTCACTGCGGTGGACTCTGTGCAGACATTCCTGCTCACAAATAAAACACCTGATCTGGAGCCCACCATCATCACCTCTCCTAATGTCAATATTTACGTCAACAGGTAGGACACTCAGAATTCAATTAATTGCTATATGATCAGTGAACATAAGACACGTCATTGAGAACATTTTGTGTGTTTTGAATTTTTTGTGTGTGTAAGGATATCGCCAACTAACCTCCAGAAAGAGCCCTTCAGCATTGAGGACAGTGCAGCTGGATTCAAGCTTCCGCATCTGGGCTCTGATATACTGCCTGTTGATGAGCCAGTGGATGTGAAAGTGGGTGTTTTTTAGTCACTACTAGCCGAAAAAACATCAATAATACAAAATCAAATTAGATAATTTATCTGACCTGCACCCTATTTTTTAAGGAATAGCAACAAGAGTTAGCTTTATAATAATATTCCATTCTGAATCTAGCCCTTACTAGTCATTAGAAATGTTTACATTTTATTACATTAAAGGAATAGTTTTCTGAACATTTATTCAGGCTTCGGCCATTAGATATAGATGAGTTTGTTTCCTCATCAGAACAGATTTTGAAAAATGTAGCATTACATCACTTGCTCACTAATGGATCCTCTGCAGTGAATGGGTGCCGTCAGAATGAGAGTCCAAACAGCTGTTAAAAACATCACAATAATCCACTCCAGTCCAACAATTAATGTCTTATGAAGAGAAAAGCTGTGTGTTTCTTGGAAACAAATCCATCATTAATGTATTTAACTTTAAACTAGCCTAAATACATGTTCATAATCCATAATAACACTTTCTCCAATGAAGAAGTCCATTGTCTGTTGTCCTTTCGCATCAAAATCCGTCGACACATTTGTTTATAATTGTTTTGGACTTTTTCACTGGAGAAATAAATATTATGGATATAGGATTCATATTTTCACAGGACGCAAGAGTTTGAAGATAAAAACATCATAATGATGAATTTATTACAAACACACAGCTTTTCACCGGTGATGGTCACTTCAAGGAAGTCATTATATTGTTTATGTTCATGTGACCCTGGGTGGCGAGACCTTGTGATGCATTTTAAAACTAGATGGCGGGAGAGTTCGAGTTAACGTAGAAACAGAATAATTTGAATAAGTTGTTTCATTTATTGTAATATACAGTATTGTACACATTTCATGTCATGCACTTCATATGAAGTTTAAATAAGTTTCATAGGTACACTCTAAAAAATGCTGGGTTGTTTCAACCCAACTTTGGGTCAAATATGGACTAACACAACTGTTGGGTTAAATTTTTACATAAAATTTTTAACCCAAAAGTTGGGTTAGTCCATATTTGACCCAAAGTTGGGTTGAAACAACCCAGCATTTTTTAGAGTGTAAGAAATGTGTTTGATAGCAGATACGTTAGGTTAATGTGACTATACCAGTGTTACATTCAGGTGCACTCAAAACACTCACGAGTACGATGAAGGTAAAATAATCTTTAATATCCACGCAGAAGGGAAATCCACAAGGGGAAGATATAGACGAGATCCGACAAACACTATCTGAACAGACAAGAACTTAAATACACAGGCAAATAAAGCTAATTAACTAGACACAGGTGAACAGAATGAACTAATCAGACACGAGGGAAAACTAGGTCAAGGGAAACATGAAGAAGGAAAACAAACTAAAAGTCCATGATAGTGAGAACCAGCAGGTTTCAATTTAAAAAACTGCAAGTTTTAGGAAGTTAAGCGCATAGAGGAAGCAATTTTAAACCATTTTAAATTCTAAAACATTTGGTCAAGAAAGATTCAAACTTGTGACCTTTTGCTCTGAAAGCAAGAAATATTCCTCTGATCCCCATCACTTCATGTTCAACTTCCTAGTTGAAATTATAGTCGCCCCTGTTTGGACCTTTTTTTTTCAATAACATAGATAGAATACTATACATTTTATTTTATGCTGTACTAATGTTATATATGCTTTACACATGTATCTTATAATGCAATATGCATACATGTCCACTTTTCACAGATGACACTTTTTAACATTGATCCATGGATTGAAGGTCAGACCATTCATAGCATTGTGGCCGGTTTGTCCCTCTCCAAAACAAACGGCTCTGGCATTCCAGTGGCAAACCTCACTGAGGAGATTGAGGTAAAAAAATGAAAGACCTCTTGACAACAGCTGGAACTGTAAAGATGAAGTGTGCAGTTTCTGTGCCACTAGCATATAATAACAAAAAATATATAGAATTCCAATAGTAACTTTTCAAACTGGTTTCAAGGCAAGACACTACAGGTGAATAGGGTAAAAACTAATAGATAACTTTAAGAAATAGATATTGCCATACTTCCTCAGTTGGTTAATCACAGTACATTAAGACAGTTGCTTTGCATTACAAGTTTTCCGCAAATGAGGCATTTTCTATTCAAATATGTACTAATTTGCACATATTTCCAGAACATAAATCTGAACATTGGGTAAAGCCAGGTTCAAAAATCTTTTTAAAATTGTGTTGACACATTAAAGGTTTTTACAGAGAGGATTTTGGATTCTCTTTTAATTTTTATATCAGAAAATACTGTCAACTGCCAGAAATAAAAAAGAAACCCTTCTGTAAAAACCTTCAGAATATAGAAAGGAATACAACTGCAACACTTGGTGTATGTAAGTGCTACTGAAGTAGATTTCAATGCAGGAGAAAAAAATATTGTCCCACTTTTTATTAGGGGTGTTTAACTATGTACTACTTTGTATGTAAAAAATAAAAAAAAAAGCTAAGTGGTCGTAAAAAAAATAATCACACTCGTGGTCTTCGGTCAAAAATGACCGACCATAGCAAATGAATGGGAAATGGGGGGAAAAAAATCAAAAATAAGGATAATTTTTATGTGTACAATCTACAAATCCCCCACAATGCGGAAAAAATGAAGGGGTGAAACTCTAAAACATCTAGATTGCAAAATCAACACACCAACTCACACACGCGCGGACACACACACACCTATGAACTGGTGTGACTGTAACGCTGCAACTATGTAAAATAAAATCAATAATTCAACTACAATGCAGTAAAAACGTTGACAGCAAGGAAGGGGTTACACTCTAAAACATTAGGAGTGTAAAACAGATACATCCACTCACACACACTCCCAGACACACACATACAGAATTATACATACTCAAATGAATTGGTATGGCTATAACCATACAGCCAAAATGAGACAGAAGACTGAAATAAGAGGTTAAAATCAGTTCAGACCCAGAAGGATTAAGCTCTGATAAAGCATTCCTGTTCATTTTTGTTACATTTTAATAGAATTTTAATGTTTTATGTAACAAACTGCTTTCTGTGTTCAGGTTTGAATATAGTAATAATAATGCAAAAACCTACACTTCAAATCAACATTTAAAACAACAAAAAATATAAACCTTGACAAAAAGTAGTCTTGGAGAATGCCCTAATATACATTTAAATCCACAACCTAATAAAAGTAAACAATTATGTATAAAAACAACTAGGGAATTCTCAAGCCTCTCTATTGAGTCCTATACAGGAATCTAGTGGTTACACTATGAAATTACAGGTTTTTCTTTTTTTGCTCTCGCCAGGAGGTGCTGTTCTGGTCACTTTTGACAGCGAAGACCATGAGTGTGACTCCCAAATGAGGAGCGCACAAGGGTTTTAAATGTGTATTTTGGATGTTTTCTTTCCACTAGTCTGAAGGAAGTCAAGTTATGGAAGCAAAATAGTGGTACATATAAAAGTACATATTATACCTTTTGAAAGGGTACCGATCCAGTGACAGTTTACCTTTTTTTCCTGAAACGTGTAAATAATAATTTGGCTATGTAATTATACATTTAAGTACTGAGTAATATGAATTAACTACATGTACTTACTATATGGTTAGGGTTAGGATTAGGGTTTGGCTTAGGGTTACTTGCATAATTAATTGTTATTACAATAGTAAGTACATGTAACGTGTAACAAGAACACCTTAAAATAAAGTGTTACCAAATTATTTTACTAATGAAATTCCACTTTGCTCAATCTGCAGATCTTATTACCCAGGCTGGACACAGCGGTGAACAGCTCAGTTCTAGATCTGAGAAACTTCAGCACTTTGATCATCAATATAACCACCCCCAACATTACTCTGGTTATGAAGTTCCATCCTTCTGAAGATTTAACACTAATATTGCTGCTGGGTTATGAGAACCAACCCACCGAGGAAAACAATGTAGCCACAGTTACACTTCCTCAACAAGGAAATTCACAAGGTGAATCATTTGCTTGAAACAATGCAATTGTTCTTTAACACTGCGAAATGTATCAAGCACTGTTTTGTACTTTTCTTAATCTCTTCACACAGATGAAAGGTACACATGGCTGCTGGGTCCCAGTGACATGGCAGTAGACGTGGGTGTTTACAACCTTCTCATACGACCTGTTGTTCCTCCGGGCGTAAAGTCTATTAATGCATCACTAACAATCACATCCATTACTGCTCAGTGCATTTTCTGGGAAGAGGCGAGATCCAACTGGAGTGACTATGGCTGTAGAGTGAGTGCCATCATTTTTTCAAAAATTAGACAAGTTATGATTTGAATACAGGGGTTAGTTTTTTATTTATTTATTTTTCGATTTGGCTTCCATACAGCTCATAACTTAATAAAACAGGCTGTGTGAAAAAGAGAAATAATCAGAAATAGTTACAGAAAGGGGTCATTTCCTTTGTGAAAAAGAAGTACACGTTAGCATACTTTTAAAAATGAGTACTTATGGAAATAATATACGTAGGTGAAAACTGAATGTAATGTTTTCAGAAACTTAATTGCATGTTAATTGCATTTAAATTATATATGTATAACATTTTAAATGTAAGTGCACTTTAGTGGCCTTTTATTTAATTAATATAATATTATCTGCCAGTACAATTTTTTTATAATATGTTTTAAGATTTGAAGTTCACTGCAATACAATCAAATGCACTGCACTTCTTTTTCACAAGAATTGGCCTGCTAATTCAAACAGAATTATTTCTAACACGGCTAATGTTTCATTTTAACCTCTCTGGCTCTTTCCATTTGTGCGCCAATAGTGACAGCCATACTAAACATTGCTGACCTCTGACCTATTGTAAAGTGAATTTATTAAATGAAGTTCAAATAAACAATGAATCAGTGAAACGTAAATGACATTTGCTATCAGTTCATTTGCTTCTGTCAGTCCGTCGCAGCGTGTTAGTGAGATAACACTCTGTGCTTGATTTCTTTATTCTTTAGGTTGGCCCTAAAACGACCCCCAACGTGACACAGTGTCTGTGTACCCATTTAACCTTTTTTGGGAGCAGTTTCTTTGTCATGCCCAATACGGTAGATCCGTCCAAGTCTGCTGAGCTGTTTTCCAACTTTGCACAGAACCCAGTGGTAGTGTGCTTTATCGGGGCAATTTTCTTAGCTTACACCCTGGTAGCGGCATGGGCGCGCAGGAAGGACCTACAGGACAAAACCAAGGTCTGTCTAACTTTGCTGCATCTATGGTCTCTAGAGTTAATGATTTCTTTGTTTTTAAAGTCAACATAAAAAAAACTGAGCCTGTTTACTTTCTTAACCCTGTAAATCCTGACATATGGAATAATAGTTTGAAAACTCGAATGCTTTGAAGCGGAACAGTTTATTGAGCCTTTAGACAAACAAACAAACTATTAACAACAAACGAATAATTTATGTTTTAAGTTTTGTATCATATTTAATACATCAGGCTTTTATGATCCATATAGTATGATGTAGGAGCTCACATCTGAGGATGAAATAAAAAAAATATCAGTTTTACTCAGAGGGCCAAACTGAGCAAAAATATTCAATTTGGTGCAGATGTTATTTATATGACCAAAAAAAGACTACTTACATAAAATGCATATATAAATATCAATTGTCACTCTATTTCTCTTCAATAATATGTATTAGTGAAATGACGTTTAAATGCTTAGTTTTATGATCAAAGTTCTGTTGACAATATTATTATCATATTTGATACTCAAAGTTTAAGACATTATGCACTGGTAATCAAGTAAAGCCGAGTTGCTTTAGTCCAATAAGTGTTCATCTTGCAATATAAAATTAATATTCTTATGTTAACTTTATAAAAATGGTCAAAATTGTGCTGCAGAAATACTTGCATGTTCATGGTTATTGTACAGTGCACGATTCATCAATATGCTATTATAATGACAAAATATCGCAGAGTTGATCATCATAATGTTAAGAAAATATTATATATTTTATGAAATGTGTGAAAATCATAAAATTGAATGAAAATAACTTTCCCGATGATGTAATGAAGGCCACACAGGATATTGAATAATATTTCCCAAACAGCCAAATATATATTTAGTCAACATTTTAGCAAACACACATTTTGTCAGGCTCCATTCTGATATGTAACACCCGCTTTTCACAATCCACTCAATTTACAAAATCTCTCTCTACCTCTTTTGTAAATGTCATAATGCCCTCAAAAGTACTTGAGATCTGTAAATAACATGGTTTGTGTGCAGCAAATCATGTTAACTTTAAAGCTCTGTCATCAACTGAAATGTATGCTATATCAGATACATTGTGTTCTTTCCCCCTAAAAGGTGAAGATTACTATGCTAGAGGACAATGATCCCTTTGCTGAGTACTGCTACTTGCTGAAGATCAGCACTGGTCATCGCATGGGTTCCTCCACTTCATCACGGGTCGGCATGTGCATATATCATAAGCTCTTCTTCAGGAATTCTGCTCATGTGCTCTTACATGCTAACTCTGCAATGCCGTTGTCACTTCAGGTCATAGTGACTCTTCAGGGTACGGAGGGAGAATGTGAGCCCCATCATCTGACTGACCCTGATAAGCCAGTGTTTGAAAGAGGAGCTGTGGACCTGTTCTTACTGACCACCCCCTTCTCACTGGGAGAGCTGCAGAGCATCAGACTGTGGCATGACAACTCAGGGGACCATCCTGCTTGGTAAATTGGTGTCCGAGGAATAATTCACCTACTACACTGAAAAACATTGGTGTAGAAATCATTTTGACTCCGGTATTGCTAGTAAATTTCACAAATAATTACAAAGAAATGGCAAGTAACACACTGAATTAAACATTCAATTTTAGAAAGACTGAAGATAGAAAGACTGAAATAGTATTTTCTTCTTTATTATATATATATATATATATATATACAGTATACTCACCCTCACTACTCATTCAAGTGTCCAAAGTGAAAAATGAATTAAAAAGCAGTTTTTTTGTCTGAATTTCCTGAAAAGGAAATGTACTTTAGCATCTCCTTAAAAAAGAGTACATATTACAGAAATAATATCCTACAGTATACTATACTGTAATATACAATAAGTGTGAACTGAATGAAATGTTTTCAGACACAAAATTGCATGTTAATTGCAATTAAATGAAAAGGTATTATAGATTAAATTTGAATAGAGTGCTTTTTGACCCACTTGCACAAGTACATATTTATATGTAATTTCATAATTACTTGTTTTGTCTTTGAAATATGGTTAAAGTGCACTGTCGAATGTACTGACAAGCGTTTATAGTCGATTAAAATATACTTTAGTGTAATTTCTATTGAATGTCATGTATTTACATATATTTATAATTACACATTTGTAATGATGATGTTCCAATTTAGTACATTTTAAATATATTAACTTTAAATATAATATAAAAAACACACTACAGTTAAAATAATAATCAAGTACTTTACTCAACACATCAAAATTAGTGTATTTCTTTAAAGCATGAAAAAGAGTATTAAACCTAATGATTTAAAATGTACTTTAAAGTATAATTGTTAATGCGATATTATTATAAAGTTCACGTCAAGTGTACTAATACTAATTAATATGATATTATCTGCAAGTATAGTAATAAAAAATAAGATTTGAAGTACACTAAAAGTGCATATTCAATACATGGAAGCACACTTCATTTTCACAACAGCTAATGTGCTTGACAAATGTATTTCTTATTTCTCAGGTATGTTAACATGGTGATGGTAGAAGACCTGCAGACTGAGCAGAAGTGGCACTTCCTGTGCAGCTCGTGGCTGGCTGTTGATATAGATGATTGCACTGTTGAAAAAGTGTTTCCTGTAGCATCAGAGGCGGACATGAAAGGCTTCAGGTGAGCTCACTCATCTCGCAGTGTGGCTTTTGACTTGACTTTTTGAAAATGCAACTAAAAGACTTTCCGTTCTGCAGCAATTTATTCTTCATGAAAACAACAACGGACTTCTGTGACGGTCACATCTGGTACTCTGTGGTCAGTCGGCCCCCCAGCAGTAATTTCACCCGTGTGCAGCGTGTCTCGTGCTGTTTCTCAGTGTTGCTTTGCTCCATGTTGACTAGTATCATGTTCTACGGGATTCCCACAGACCCCTCAGAGCAGACCATGGATATGGGTACAGCTCAAAATAATTACATAATCATATATGTGACCCTGGAGCACAAAACCAGTCTTAAGTCGCTGGGGTATATTTGTAGCAATAGCCAAAAATACACTGTAAGGGTCAAAATGATAGATTTTTCTTTTATGCCAAAAATCATTAGGATATTAAGTAAAGATCATGTTCCATGAAGATGTTTTGTACATTTCCTACCTTAAATATATCAGAACTTCATTTTTGATTAGTAATATGCATTGCTAAGCACTTCATTTGGACAACTTTAAAGGCGATTTTCTCGATATTTAGATTTTTTTTACATCCTCAGATTCCAGGTTTTCAAATAGTTGTATCTCGGCCAAATATTGTCCTATCCTAACAAACCATTTCAGCTTTCAGATGATGTATAAATCTCAATTTCAGCAAATACATCGATTTAGTAACTAATAAAGCCACTTTTTGTAATGTTTATTCAATGTTTTACTCTCCTGCTACAATCTTTGAATAACTTTTAGTTTTTAAAAATACTTAAGTGTACTATGATATATGTGAATATGAACTTGTAAATATTGTCACACACTCACACACACACACACACACACACACACAA